GGTCTTTCAAGCATAAATAGCGAGCATTCCCTGACAGCGACCTGCACATTTTTATTCCATTAAAGGTAATGCAAAGTTTTGAAAATTGGTTGGATATTAATTCTTTAATTTTTTTATACATTTGGATGCCCCTATGCACTAGAAAATTTAGCCCCTACCGATTTAAATCGTTAGCGGCTCTCATAGAGGACGGGGTCTGCATGAACAATATTATTCCTGTGGAAAGGTTTGCAGTATTAGGTGCCTATTCTACCTACAGCATCATTATGGTACATGCAGCCCATGCCACTCTGACGTAGCCGCAAAGTTGTCATTGTTTGACAAACAAGTAAGTCTATACTTCCAGTGGAAGTTGAGACAGAGACCACAGCATCCCCTCTGGGAGCCGGATCATGGCTGATAAGTGATAAAGTTTCTCTAATGGTTTAACATATCAAATTTGTCTTTGTCTGCATGAACAAAACAAGCAAGTAAACTTTCAGAAAAAGCCACCTTACACAACTTGAAACTTTGTAAGTAATAATCTGTACAGTAAGTACTGCAGCTCTTTAAACCAGGGGGGTGTTTCACAAAGATCCTTAGTCGAACCTAACTTTAAGTTGGACTTAAAAATTATGGAGAGCCATTTGTAGCCTTAAAATAAAGTTCATTTAAAAGCGAAAATTCAAATATTTTAGACTTTTTATAAATTCCACATCAAGAACATGAAATCTTCCATGATAATAGAAAATATGAATGATTTGAATCAAATTTGTATGCGTTTTGAAATAACTTTTACAAAATATTTTCAAGGATGCTAATGGCTGTCCATAATTATTAAGTCCAACTGAGAGTAAAGTTCGACTTAGGATCTTTGTGAAACACCCCCCCCCCCCCCCCCTGGGCCCATATTCATGAACCTTTGCTAAAGTAAAGTCTATCTAAGCACTAATTGGTATTCTTATAACCATACTGAGATATAGTTTGCAACTATAAGCCCTATTCCTAAATCCTAGTTGGATTGGTTCAATCATAGAGGCTGTTCACACCGGCAGAGATAGCGCGCGCTAGACCGCGCTATCTCATTGCGGTTTGGAAGGTACTGTACAACGTCGTTTCGGTCCGCCCAACAGCGAGCCACGGCGAGCCAAAACGGCGTGCCACTGGAGCACCTCTTGTGGGTGGTCCACGAGAGATAGCGCGGTCTAGCGCGCGCTAGAAAAAAGGGGGTGCTACGATAGACCGCGCTATCTGCATTATTGTAGAGCGCTTAGAGACTTCTGATAAAGTAAGTGTTAGGCGCTATATAAGCAAATATAATTATTATTATTATCTCATTGCGGTGTGAACAGCCTCTTAGTTCTGGATTGATGGACCTTCTGACAACTAGTTCAAAAGATTAAGACTGCCGCTTCATAGGAATGACAGTTTGGGTCTCTTGCTTGTACCCTTTGATGACAATGAGTCAAATTATGAGTCTAGTCTCACTCTACCAACAGTTTTATTTGGTTGGACCTTCTGACAATTACTGAAAACTTTCCAAAGACCAAAGATTCACAATCACAGACCCAAAGTTTCAGTCTCTTGGACCTTCTGACAACTAGTCAGAAGATTATCAAGATGGAATACTCACAAGACCTCCATGTATAGTCCAGAGAAAGTTAAAAGAACGAAGTCTCCACTCACTGAGCGGAAAGGTTGCAACCCCCAAAATACACCCGTCAGGAGTCAGGACTGTCTCCATTTTAACATTGAGGGTGTGTTATTTTTCTCAACACGGAAACAGTCCATAAAATGGACTACTCAGGAGCATGCTAGTACATGTATGTTCAAACTTTTCTTTAACGATAACATAATCAGTCAGAAAAAACATAATTATGGGTGAGTCAGGCAAGTGTAATAAATACCCCCACAAACTACATGTGTACATGAATGTCTGTTTACTATAGGCCCCTAATGAGCTCCACACATGAAAGCTGCACTAATCCAGGTATGTTGCGGGCACAGAAAACATTCCCGTTTTGTCAACCACAAAAAAAAAGAGACATATATAGGGCGATGTCTCAGCTAACATCCCTGTAAATCACTTCATCCATTATGCAACATTGGACTCAAAGAAAAGGAAATAAAGGCTTTGCTTCTTTGAGTCTTGCGCTATTTTTAGGGTTGCCAATGTGAGGATCTGCGAGAGTGATACAACTTGGATTCCGAAGCCGTATAAACTAGGTTAGATATATGTTTAATAGTCATCCATCTGCTCTGAGATAGATTAACACTAAAGCAAGTATATAGCTAATGAATTGCAATTAAACATAATTAGCTGCAGTAGGTTAAGGATTTTTCTGTAACATTTTTTAAAACAAAGAAAAGGAAAAAAACCTTCACAAAATGAACAATTTTTAAATAATTGAAATAATAATAATAATAATATGGATATTTATATAGCGTCGATATCCACCAGGCTCCGACGCTCATGGCGCTGTACACATATTACCTTAGTTGTAGCCGAGCTGCCAAAGTAACTAGCACTCAAGCATATCAGGTACCCATTTACACCTTAGTGGAGAGTCAGAGAGTGGCAAATGTACATTGTAAATCTCTCCAATTCAAAAGGACATTAGTGCCAGGGCAGGACTTGAACCCTGTACCTTGTGATCTGCAGTCGGGTGACTTATCCATTAGACCACACCTCTATTGGCTAAAAGATTCAATCACAAGATCCAGAACTTATTGTTCAAAAACAGAACTCAAACATTCAAACTTTTACCCATAACCAACTTTCAATACTGTAAAAATAGAATATTTCACAAACAAAAAGTCTCATGAATTGTGCAGGTGGTCCAGATTTACAAAAGTTTTTAAGGTATGAAGCGCAATGCTTATTTTTGTTGTGATTTGTGACAATTTTGTGTTGCAAATACAGCTAGCGTTTAAAATTAGCCAACATTTGTGGTATAATCATGTACAGTACTTTATGTGGAAAAGATTATACATCATTCATGAACATACCAGTGCCCGTAAAATGCAGAACTCATGCATGATGATCGCTGAAACTTAATCCAACTTGGCGAAGAACTGTAGCAGTCGATTTGTAAAAATAACTAGACGTAGCTTTCGATCAACTTGATAAACAAAGTAAAAAATCACAGAATAATTTCCAACTGATCAACTAGATATATAGCTATTAAAAGCAGATGACATTTGGATAAGTCGCCTCTATAGAACTCAATCAACTTTGCAAATGAAGCAAGCACTTTTGTTAACAGTCACAAACCAATGTTACCACAAAAGCTATATTACAAAACATGTCTACATGTAGCACTAAACAAGTTTATAGTGTGAATGCAGGATGAGCAACTGTTTCGATATGAATGTTCCTACATGTATATATACTAACCTTGATAGGGAAATAAAGTAGAGTATAAACAGGAACTATCGCACAGATCAACTTTCAAATTCAATGTTCCAAATGATTGATTTTAGATCACAGGGAAAAAATGTAATGACAATGCAATATTAAAAAGCAGGATATGGATGCCTATGGATATGTACTTCAAGTCCAAAGTCACATGCAGGTAAAAGTTGGCACTACCGTTGCAATTTACTGGACGCAGTGATTCAATGAGCAAAGGAAAGTATAAGCTACATTTTAGGGGAAAACCCTTACACTACTTTCAACATCGGCTGTACTGACTCTAGTCAATGCAAGACAGCTTTACAAAGCAATCCGCTCATCAACACAAAAGAAGAATTCATTGAAGTCGTGATTCAAATCCCAGATTTTCCCCTGGAAAGTTTATTCTTGTTAGTGTTCATTCATGTATGAGCTAGTCTGGTATTCAGCTACTACATTTAAATTTCTTGTGATACACTTGATACATTAGAGTTCCTGCCCTCCCCCTCAAATGTTATGATAAAATAAAGCAGGATACTGACATTACTCCAATCAGTAATTGAGTATTTTTTCACACTTATGTATCATGTGGGTGCTACATTCTCCTAACAATGGTCTGGAAAAAGTAGGATTATAAAAGAAAATGTCTGCAACACAAACAGACTGCTATCTAACTTTAGAAGATTAGACTTTTTATGTTTGCCTATGTCATTGCTTTCGTATTTAAAATTAGATAAACAGAGAGACTAAAATTGATTAACAGAAGTCGTAATAAACAAGAAATTGCTTCTCGGATTCCGGGATGAAATAAAAATGCCTGTAAACTTGGGAATTTTTTGAAGTACACTTCAAATTTGGAGGTGTCAATATCCTTGTTGAAACTGATTTGAAATTTGAGCATTGAGGATACAACTCCCACATACTTTTCAACGTTTTGATATAGTCATAGTCATGGAAGTAAATATGAATTATTTATTAATGTAACTGGCAAGAAATTATTGTTAAGTAAGAGAAAATGTACGATGCTCATTTTCAAAGAAAATAAGTAAAATTCTAATTGTACTTCTTTGCTTAGAATCATAAATCTATATATCTATATCATTATGAATAGAGCAGTAAAAAAACATTCTAGGTTTGAGAGGTTTGAACTTTAAAGTATAAATGTTTTTAAATAAAATAGATCAAATATAATTGTGTCAAATGTCACCTGTATCATGAATACACTATCAAACGTGATACCGAGCTGAGCCTTCAGGAAGAACAGGACGGAATACTGGCCTCTCTAAAGGTACCAGTACAATATTTGTGGTTATCTTCCATTGAAATATGAGGGGAACTGGTTAGAATGAAGGCCAAGTTGAATAAAGTGGATTTAAATAAACATATATTGCATCCCGCTTTGAAGTCTAAATATAGATGATATTTGTAAACAATTGCCAATAAACACGTCGAATCGGGGTGAATCTGGAAGAGTACCCAATGCTTACTTAATTGAATATCAATAACAATCTCTGCCAGATTTGTCTGTACGTCAACGAAAGAACCTCTCAAGGGGTTCATTATCGTCTCATCTGGATCAACTGTCAAAGAAGTTGACCTACAAGTGTCACATGATCGACCACCTTACCTTTCGCCGCGTCGAGCTGCGCACAGCCGGGGGAGAATGCCTGGAAACATGGTCGAAATTGTAGTGATGGCGGGTGTGGGGGTTGCCCGGCGAGAGAGGGAGAAGGCTAAACACCTTGCTGGCGTGGACAGTGAAAGTTTCGTCGCTACGCTGCCTCCGATGCGTGTACTTGGCACGCTGCGCTGCCTTAGTCCGATCCATGCTCGTGGTCTTGGAGTCTTTGGTGGCGTGTCTGACATAGAAGCTTCTCCGGGATGAGCGCTTTCTTGCGATCATTCTAGAGTCCAGGGCGTCGCTCATGACAAGGCAACGACTTCCCCCTATCAGGAGAAGCAGTAGGGGGGTCGGCCACGTGACCCGTTACTTGCAATTCAATTAGCCAACGACTCACTCTGCATAACCCCCCTTGTACAAAGCTTGCGCGGTATAGTTGTCAAGTTGAGACTCTTTGCGTAGCTGCTTGATACTCACTCAGGCTATAAAACGAATCACAAATCTCCTTCACTAATTATCTTTAAATGTTATAGAACAGAATCCTCAAGAGGTGTAAATGCAAATAATCTCTCTTCCTTTTTTCAAGAACAAGCGTTATCGATATCAATCAGAGAATCTTCCAATGTCAACGGGTATCTATCGGCAAAGACTAGCCATTTCTTGAGGAGGGCTCAGCAATCCAACAATAACTCCAAACGTTGTTAATACTCTGGATTTGGATGGTGAGAAGCCTGGAGATCTATCCGGCGTGTTAATTATCTCTGTCAATAGCGTGTTCCCCTGAGATGCCTCGGCAGTCGCAGGAAATGACTGAATCGGTGCGAGCTTCCACGCAAACGAAAGAGGGGGAGGGAGGAGTAGACGATGCTCCTAGGTTCTACTTGACTATCTTCAGATAATACGAGGGTAGCATTGCACAAGAGGGCCTTGGGATGTATCATGCAATATCATTTCCAATAGTCCATAAAACAGCTTCCCACCAATCAACGGTTTTTCTGCGAAGTGCCTATATGATGATTTCAAATGATGCCCTCGAGATTCAAAGATGAAAACATGCACTATCAATTCCAATAGTCCATAAAACTGCTTCCCACCAATCAACAGCTTTTCTGCGGCGAAGTGCCTATATGACGATTTCAAATGATGTCTTAAAGATTCAAAGATGATGTCCTCAAGATTCATACATGTAGATGATATCCTCAAGATTCAAAGATGATGTCCTCAAGATTCAAAGATGATGTCCTCCAGCGATCTTGGCCCACTTCTTAGGCATGGCTTGCAATATTTCACTTGTGGAGTGCCTAGCTTGCATCAATGACAATCATAAAGTGACGGCTAAGCGCACGTAAAGAGCCAAACCCTACAAATCCTTGATTAAGAGGCACCCCACTCTGCGATGCCCTTCTAGAAAACTGTGAGCTTTTTGTTGCCTGCTAGTCTGCTACATATATAGGTGTCTTGTCTGTAGCTTGGCAGATATCAAAAACAAAAAAATGAGGTGCAGCAGGCCCCTCTAACTAGGTATATATTTAGCTGAAGTTCAGTCTAGAATGCAATCTGGCGAAACAAATAACAGCAATTGCTGCCCTTTTCACAGTGTGACGTAGAAAGGTTGCAAGTGACACAAGTGTGGTTATTTCCAAGATTCAAAATCACTTAGGACAAATTAATAATCACTAGAACTTGACATATCCTGTTTAGATGATCATGTTGCTTCATGCGCACAGTTCTTATTCTAATTTTTGTTTTCTCTCTTTCTGTGTGTCAGTTTACCACTTCCAAACAATAAATTAGGTTCCAAGAATTTAAACCACTTTGACAAATTGAAAATCTTCAGAACTTGACGAATCCGGTGTGGATGATCAAGTCGCTACATGCACACGGTTGTTATTTTAATCTTGGTTTTCTTTCTTTATGTGATTCAGTTTCCCACTTCCACACAATAAATCTTGTTCCTGGACGAAACAGTAGGTTGCATCCTAGGCAACAAAACACTCATAATAAATGCCACATTAATTCCGCTTTGCATAGAAATTTGCTATAAAGTCATTCAATATTGAACACTACACCTACGTAATACCGGTTAGCTGTGTTCCTACTCATGCGCTTGACCGTCATTGTCCGCTTTCAAAAAAACGATCACAAGGCATTTTTTTACAGCAGCACCACAGATTTTCAAAATTCTTCTTCAGTTTTCTTGAAGCAACTTTTCTGCTCTAGATTTCACAAATTATGCCTCTTCTAAAGAATTAAAAGCAGAGTTGAAAATGATCAGCCGAGATACACTACGCTTCAATTGATTGTCCTTGTCAAAAGTAATGCTAGCAACCAAGTAATCAGAGACGATGCAACCACACCCTCCTAAAAGGTTGTAAAACTATCCACATTGCTCTAATCCAAAACCAACTTTTATTTTCATATCATTCAAACATGACATGACAAATTATATCCTTAGCGATGCAAATCAGATTGTCCAATGGAGAATGAAAAAAGAAACTTTGAGACTGATCTGGAGTGTGACTAAAAGCCCACTCCACAACAAGAGTTTACTTTTCAGTGTGAAAGTATAGAGTGGATTGCTTTGTCAGAAATATGGAACATCATCTGCTTTAAGATCCCACAGATGAGTGATAGATCTCACAATCTTTTCCCCAGGAAGAGTATCTAGTGCATGGATTATATCTCTGTTACGATCAAGACATATTAACACGTTCTCGTGGCAGAATGGAGCACACCTTTTTGGGCTGTAAACACAAGTAAACGACCTAATCTCAGAGAATATGGGGATCCATGTATTTCCAAGTACTACATGATGGGATCAACTAAGGCCACTAAGTACCAAGTTACCAACACCATGAAGTGGAACTTGCTCATTAGAGTACGGCGCGGGTGTTGTTTTGCCCTGGATATCTTTAATAACTTATCAACTTTGGCCCTAATATTTCACGGCCTTGACAGCATCTATAAATGGATAGATCATTCAACAGAGATGAACACCTATGAAACTGACTGTAACAGACTTTACTTGTATCCTTCAAATCATCCACACCTCTTCTGATTTGGTTTATTTGATTTTTCATTTTTTGCTGTTGCAGTATTAAAGTATGAAAGACTGCATCCCAAAACCATTGCAGCCCAAAAATTATTAGTTCTGTTCACACAAAGAGCAATTTTCAGTAATTTTTTCTTCTCCTTCTTCTTCTGTTAATCTTCAAAGGGCTATGCAGCCTATCACAAAGATCTGTTGAAACTTGATTACCGTTTTTGTATGTACATGTAGGCACACTTAACACCAGTTTTATACACCATACTCTTTGCGAGAAGTTGCGTATTTAAAGCGTACATAGGGTGCGACTCTCCTACACGCAGGGCGTCCATTTAACGTTTTAGTCCAAGAACTTAAGCGCACTGCAAAAGTAATGAGAGCCAGACGATGCTACAATTGCGCCACACTGCCCCCTCAAATCTAAAAAAGACATTTTGGAATTGTGCTAAGAATCTCATTCTGTTGTGTGTGTGTGAACAAAATAATTGACTATAAGAGATTAGAAGAATGCAAATCTAATCATTATTATGTATTTGTATTTAAATATTTATTTGCCACTCATAGCCGCTTTATCTGAGCAACAAATTAAGTCAGCGAAGTGAAATAAGAAATCTTGTCTCTCACACGTGTACATGTCCAGAGATTTGAACTGCGATATAAACCTCGCCTTTTCATAAGTATGAATGGGCCTAATATGGCCTTATTAAAAATCAAATAGGAATATTAGGCAGAGTATGAGGCCCCTCAAAAACTGATTGAAGAAAGGGGAAAGGGAGCAGCATCAAGTTTTCCATTTTCGTCTCTTCCTATATGTTGCCTATAAATGGTGTACAACCCGAACGACTTTTAATAAAAGCAGAAAATTGAGAGGAACAGGTCAGTGAAAGTTTGATCAAAATACGAATCAAAATAAGAAAGTTATTGATTTTTGAAGGTGTGATCAATCAAACACTAATTGGCAACTCTCTGACGTTTCTTGCAAGGTTCATTCACGTTCATTTTTTCTGTACTAAACAAAGATCTGAAATGTCTATTTTCCCCAAAAAAATTGTTCAATCATAAATGCACCCTAAAAATATTTATTGCAATTTTTTTCTATACAACCCCTGTATGAAAAAAATCTATTACTGGCCAGTACTTCATCAAAGTGCAAGAAAATTAAAATTTGACTTTTTAAGGAACAGAGAAAAATGAGAGAAAAGCTTGCAAGATACAATGTACGTCCCAACTCACAATGTTGCCAATTCATGCATATCACGGAGTGACTAGAGTAGTCTATAATCTTGCAGTGCGCATGTGAACATACAATAAATTATGATACAACACGCATGCTCCTCCTGAGTATCAGAAGAAAAAAAAAAATATGGGGAAAAATAACTAATGGCTAGAAAAGGTTGAGCATTTGGCCAATAAAATGTTTTATAGAAATACATGTACCATTGACTATGTACACTACATTGTAAGCAAAGTTTTCTGAGACTTGTGACATGCTGTATATTTACAAGTACCTACAGATTAGACCTCAACACCTACAGGATAAATGTGCAGGAAATTTGTGGTACATGAACAGATTTTGGTAATCTGGCAACACCTTATAAGGTAAACCCCTCAGATGGTAGAAACGGAGAGAGAGAGGGAGAGAGATAGAGACAGAGAGAGACAGAGAGAAAGAGAGAAAAGGAGAGAGGGGGATACTGAGAGAGACAGGCAGAGACAGAGAGACAGAGAGACAGAGAAAGAAAGACAGACAGAGAAAGACAGAGACAGAGACAGAAAGAAAGAGACAGACAGAGACAGACAGAGAAATAGAAAGAGAAAGAGAGAGAGAGAGAGAGAGAAAAGTATATCATCTTTCACACCAAAGTCTATGTACAACTCTATTTGAATGGTAAAGCTGACATATATTGCAGGATAACAACAATTTGGGGGTATTATTCAATTATTCAATAACAAACACAGGATGTGGGTGGTAAAAGGATACCTAAAGAGGTTTATTGCATGTTATGATGGTATGGCCCTATGAAGATACAAGTTTCCAAATAAGGCAGAAATTATCCTAATTTATATCCCATGGTTTCCATAGTTCTGAGAGGAGAGGAAGAGGTTGTAATGTAGTTTACTGTTTCCATGGAAACAAATGATGTTTTCAAAGTTTGGTCATAATTTATGCTCCCATCATTTAGCCTTGGTAGACAAAAAATCATCAGTGGGAATTACATTGTGTGCTAAATGTAATCCAGTGGCTTGACACCCTGAAGCCTGCATGACATAATTAATGGCCTCATTACATAGTCAAATTAAAATAAATCAAGCTTAATACTAAAGGAGATTGCTGTATACTGGTATTCCTAGTCTAATACAAAAAAGGTCTGCATATAAAGGCCCTACCATAAATTCTCTTGCTCAAGTACTGAAGCCAGCATCACTGCATACAAAAACCATTACATAAAATATATTTTAAGAGCTGAATTAAGAGATTGCTATAAAATGACATGCTGAGTATAATTATTACAAAGCAAAACTGCATATAAAGGCCACATCTAATACTTACTTCACTAACTAAAACTAAGAAATTTCATTCTTGGTCCATTCGGGTGCAGAAGAGCATGATTATTCTATAAAGTATATCATATGAATTACATAACTTGAATATCAATCTCCTCTATAAATGAAAGCTAAAGTTTGTAAAGTTCATGTAAATAGAAACTGAACAACTGTTGAGAATAGGAAATGATAGATTAATCAAACTATTGTGTGCCAAACAAGTACAATTCCCATTTTCTTTCATTTCCTGGATGACTTTGAAAATGATGCATATACACTTTCATTTGATAGTATAATAAAGTGATACAAATGACTCATTGCTATGTTACAAATATAGCTAATGATGAAGGGA